GTATGTTGATATGTTAACTATCACTTTCTGATTTACTTTTATAACATTTTTGCTGATGCTAATGATGACTTTTTTTTCATACCATTTCATGGACTAACTGTATTTCGGGGTCACTTTTGATTAAAAGTGCAGTGTGGACAGAACAGTTTAGGCATTTTAACTGCAGACAGAAAATTCCTCTATATCTCTGAGCTATTTTGAGGAAGGCTAGCTGCACAGTTGATCCTCAAATTCCCTTGCCTTTCTACTTCTCTAACCCCTATCACTCTGTCCTCTGCGCTTTTCACTCACTCTCTTTTCCCTTTGCTCTCATTTCCTCAATTTTACTGTACAAACCTTTCAAACTCTATAGTTGGGCATTGTGCAAGTCTGAATGATGGGTCTCATGATGCTTGTATGTGATGAAACAATTTCTCACAGAAATTGCTTTGACATAAAGAGCTTCCAATCTCAACTTATCTTATAATATATAAGTCTATATATATATATATATATATATATATATATATATTTCCTTCTTGAGTCTTCAAATCTAACTTCTTCTCTTCGGCTGCCCCATACCTCCATCACACCTTTTTTTTCACATACTGTACATTGTCTCTTCATTTTCTTTTCCCAGATCACTCTCTTCTTCTCTCACACCCATTTCTTTAAAAAAAACAAAAAAACTAATTGACACCCAAGTGCCACTGTCTATTTTTAAAGTGATCATCTGACTGGCATGACCTTCATCATTTGTGCTGTCATGCATCCACACACACTGGGCATTTCACTAAGTAAGTGAATTGAATGAAAAGCCAAACATTTGTAATGTTCCATTTCTAGAGCATAACCTGATTGTGTACATTTGAGACTAACACTATAAAACAGTAAAAAAAAAACAAATATAATTTCAGCCAACAAAAAGTTGAGAATCATAATATTTTGTTTCCAACAATAGTTTCACGAACAAACCAGAACTGTTGAATGTTTTTTAATATTGGCCAGCGAAAAACAAAATAAGCAAGTCTACTTATAGGCCTCAGCTATGTGTTGACTCTTTGTTGTTCTCTCTGCTTGATTCCTGTGGTGTCAACAGAAAAGAGGAAAGGGAGAGAGAGAGACCGAGAGAGACAGATAGAGGGACAGAGAGAAGGAGGAGGAGGAGATGTGTATACGTGCAGAGCTGCACTAGTCTGTGTTACACAGTCTGGGGGATTCCAGCCAGCTGCGTTGGGAGCACTGACCTTGGCAAAGAGTACACTGTTTTTCAGTCCCTGGGACAAACAAGTGTTAGATACGAGTGTCAACTGGTCAGCAGACAAATGATTTACTGACATTAATATACAGAGAGAAGTTACTGTTTAAAATGTCAGGGTGCCACATTGAACAAATACACAAGAATAAATAAAACTAAAATATTTTATGGATATACAGGTGTGCTGTTTTCAACTCATTTATGTAATTTTGTCACATTTCATTACATAAAATATGCATTGTAAGTTATTTTGAGAGAAAATACTATGATGTACCAACACTACAGGATACAGGATGGGAAGCTGTCGGGGTTATTTAATGTTGCAGGTGTGTGAATGTGTGTGTTTCCAAGCTTGTTTTTTCCTTTAATTATGGCACAGCTTTGCTTTTGATCTCCTGGTACATGGGAGCCCTGATATATTTTGAGGCAGCTTGTTTTCTCTGACCATAACTCTTGTCTCGATGACATTGTTGGAGCCCACATCACGGCCTAATGGCTTGCACATGTGTGTGCTTGTATGCATGTGTTATACGACCATCTATGTCTGCTGTAATCAAGTTGGCGTTCAGTTCTGTGGCAGACATTTCATATTTTGGGGGCTGTTCAAACATTACCTTGGGCAATGCGGGAACTCAGTACATATTCTCCCCTACAATCAAAGCCAAATAATGAATCATCCTTCATCTCTCACTGCTATGAAAACAATGGTATCATTCTTACAGTAATACCTGACCGCTGTGGTGGCTTGGCAGTTGCAAAACCTGGAGAGATTGCATTATTTCTTGTCAGATTTACTTACCATGTAGGTTGCATGACTTGACAATGAACTCATTAAGCAAATATTGAGTGGTAAGAATTTCCTTTGTCCCCTTAAGCACACTAAGCCTAAGTATGGTCAGCCTTTGGCGGAGTCAAAGAGAACTTCCTGGTCACATCTTTTCCAAATCACCTATAAAAATTTGTCACACCTCCATATCAGCAACAATAAAACATACAGTGCGCACTGTACATCCTTGATGTGCTGCTGTCAGTTGAGCTTCAACATCAATAAAATGGTTATAAAATGATCTGTAACTTCATTGTGGTTCCCTGTTGTCATCATGTGGCGGATGTACTGAGATGATTAACAGAAACACAATCTACTACCCACTGATGAAACGTTTCCCAAGCAAGTTCCCTATTAGCTGAAACCAATCAATATATAATTATTCATGCTAGTACAAAAATATTTGTTGCTATTTCTTGCATCCACCCACAAACCAGAGTCCTATTTTATAGTTTTTTCATGACTGATGAATCACTGGTTGTTTCCTGTGTGATTTCTTTCTCACTGAGTTTCTTTTTACCCTGTTAACCTAGAAGGAACCAGAAATCTTATTCAGCGCACATATCATGAAGAATTAATCCCATCACTCAAAATGTTACATGTCAACAAATCTTCCCAGGCTTGCCATTGAGTTCTGCTGAATGCTGTTTACAGCCCAGTTGTGACCAGAATCTTGACCAAAAAATGATCTTTTCACCTGGACAGATGCCACCCACATTGGTACAATAAAATCTCAAATCATATTTTGATCTCTGACTGTGATGTGGTCTTTGCTTGACTGAGTTCAATGACTCAACAAGCATGTGGTCAGACACAATCGATCCAAAGCCTGATGAGTCTGTTAACCCCAACTCCCCTTCAGCTTCTCTACTACTCCATGTTGTTGATCCTCCGCCCCATGGAGCGTGCTTAAAGGAACAGTTCAAAATTTGAGAGATTTGGTTTATTCATTTTCTTGTCGAGATTCAGATGAAAAGCTCAACACCACTCTCACGTTTGTATAATAAATATTAAGATACACCAGTTGGTTCATTTAGCTTAGAACAAACACTGGAAACAGGGTGAAAGAGCTAGTCCGTCCAAAGGTAAAAAAATCCACCTACCAGCACCTCTATGTGCTCTAAAGCCTCGTTGACTGCTTGTGCTGAAGATCAATGTGTAGTTTTATTAACATACCATCATACATGTTTGTATGTGCACTTATGTATACAGCATACTTACATGCATACCTGCTGATGTGTGAGCGCCCCCAGCACTTTGCTGGACTGCTCCCCATGGTCCACCTATAGTATATAGGCTGAGATAGGGCTGCAGTGGAAGCAACAGATGGATGTGGCATGTCAGTGTTGTGTCAATACATTCTGGCCCTAATCCCTCAGGGTGAGGCACTAATCCAGCACCCTAACCCCTGGCCTGGCTTCATCAGAGCACATTACCTCACTTCCTCCTGCCACACAAACATATAGGTGGACAATAATGTGTCGAATGTAAGGAAAGTTAAGCAAGCCTGGGGTTCAGTGTCCAGGACAGAGTGTCCAGTAACAGACACGTCAAAAAGTACTCACTCCCAGTACTGATAAAAAATGGCGGCAAACCATATAAACAATACATATGCAATAAAGATTGAAAAATGCATAGGAAGAGGAAAATGCAACACTTTCAAATTCAGGTAAAAAAAACAACTAAACAAAAACATAAGTGAGACGTTAAGGATACAAACCACAGAACAGATAAAGCAGACTTTGTGCATATGGATGTGTATATGTGTGTATGTATGTATTATATATGACTGTGTCTGCACCAACATATGGTATAAAGCTGTGAGACTGTAAATATATGCATATTATGTAGGCGGCCACGCATGTGGCTGATGAATTTTATTCAAAACCTACTCAAAATTCACATCTTTTTTTTTTTTTAAGCCATCGTGTCACTGATGTACTGAAAGATTTTGTCACATTGCAGGTACAGTATCCACGCATACTGAGCTGCTGTGGAGTTGGCACTGACCTTTTGATTCCTAACAATGGCATGATATTTTGAATCATAATTCCAGTAGAAAAGATAATACAAAACTTATTTTCAATGTCTAAAAATTCAGTGTTGTGATGCATCTAAGTACATTTGCTCAAATACTCTACTTAAGTACAAGTATACCAGTGTTTCCATTTTATGCAACTGTTTACCTCTACTCCACTACTTTTCAGTGGAAATACTAGTTACTCCGCTTTTGTTGTTATTTTACAGATTAAAAATTTGAATACAAAACGTGGTAAATTTATAAAACAATTATTCGTTGCTATAGATTAAACTATCCAAACATATATATATATATATATAAGCGATATAAATATATTGGTTCCACTCAACCATAAGGAGCATTTTCAAGTGTAATTTTCAATGCAGGACTTTTACTTGCAATGGTGTAGTTTCAGTGTGGACTGCTTCTCTTACTACAGTGAATAATGTGAATGCTCAGTATTTATATAGGGGACTATAGTGGGATTGCAGTGGTTCCATAAGTGTTGCTTTTATGCTGACAGTGGTATATGGGCTATTGCCTTTAGTGTCAGTTTGCAGAGACATGCTTATTATGTGTAACACAAAAGGTCTGTCATAATTATGAATAAGTAGGCATGTAAACGAATAAATAAGACGACCCCAGTTGCAGAAATACAAATCATAGCAGCTATGCAGAATATTTATACAGGACTGTCTTGCAGAGGGCTGTAGTCATACATAGCTTAACAATATAGAAAATGTTAATGGGCGGTGTCTGTACAGTTTCAGGTCAGCCGTAGTAGTGGTCACATGGCCTGTGTGTGTAAATGACAGGAGAGAGAGAGAAAGGGAGAGGGAGGGAGAGAGAGAGAACGGGCTGCGGGAGGAGGGGGAGGAGCGAGGTGGTGGTGGTGGGGGGGGAGAGACAGACACAAACTAGGGCCACTCGCCGACACAAGAGAGCACTTTTTTTTTTTTTGGTGATAGAGGGGACCCCGTGTGGCTCCGAGCATCTGTTTCCGTCCCTCTGTTGGGTTTAATGTGTCAGGCCGGCGTTGGTTCGCCGTCACCCCCCTGGATATTATTTATAACCGACAAGAAAAATTGGATGGGACGCGCACACGGGCAAGACAATCCCGGAAATAACATGCGTACTCTCAGCCTGTCACGTACGCTCACTGAGGATTTGCATTGCTGTAGGCTGCCGTAGGTAAGCAGTGGACTGTGGTCTCCTGGAGGGGGGGGGTTACTTGCTTGTTTGACATTATTAGCCGCATATTCAGTTTATTTTACACTCTGAAATGTGCGTTTCAACTAAAGTAATACATTCGTGTGATCTTATTCTCAGTTGTTATGGACGGACCTAAGCATTAGGCTGCTAAGTTGGCAATGAGTAGCTGACAAAGGCGAGAGAGAAATATTTTAATGGCTGTTTCATCGAAGTCTCATATAAATTCTAACGGTATAAGACTCTATTTAAAGTAGATATTTTGTATTTCGTGTCTACTTTCTTATTTTAGTCTAATTCGATGTAAACAGCCTGTAAGTCAAAGTGAGTTTTTGTTGAACTGAGTGTTTTGCTTTCTTTTTAATGATTAAAACTCAGCTATAGAGCTAGAATAGCCTAAATATTGTAACCTGAAGAAGAGATGCACTTAATTTTAATTTAATGACAGTTCAACAGCTTATGATTATGTTGTTGTTGTTGATGATGATGATGATGATGATGATGATATAGGCTGTAATCCTGTTACATTGCACTTTTTTCTTGCCCCAGTTAAAATGTTTTCAGTTGGCCTGTATAAATACTGTATAGGCATTGGTGACACCATAAAATAGTGTAGATTTATTTACTTGAGCTCACTGTGACAAGTGGCCTGCTCTGTGCTATTAATAGGCCTAAAGTGTATCATTTTACTCTCCACAGATATCCTACACTGCCTCAAAATGTTTATAAGACGGATACAAATAAATACACAGATCGAGAGTATTAAATGAGAGTAATTGGTGAAATAAGAGCCACTAGAAGAGGACTTGGACATGAAACTTATTCTCTCTGTGTGGCAGAGCTCCTCTCCATCGGAGAAAAGCAGCGGCTGAGCTAGAAAATGAAGAGAGGACGTGAGCTACGTGCGCATCCAGCAGATGACGAGATGAAATGGAGAGCTTGGGACACACGGACCTTTTAAACCCAAGCTCTTCCCGCGGATCCGTCGCAGTTTCAGCCTCGCAGGAGGGAAGGACGAGCGGCCAGCAGTTCGCCTGTGGACCGGCAGAGATTCACCACACGTACCGAGCGGACATGGGGCTGAACGGCTTCTGCGCGGCGCCGGTCGGGAGTCCAACGGCCGCGGAGTTACTCGCGGGTCTGGCCTCTCAGACCGACTCCCCTGGAATCACAACCCCAACGAAGCAGTCCAAAACCGGCGTGCCGCTCTACAACGGCGGGGTGGTGTCTCCGTTTGCCACCGTGGAGGGGAGCCACGCAGGCGTCTTGGCTCACACACCAAACGGTTACCCGGCACAAATGAAGGGGGCTGCGGGGGTAACTGCCGGCCCCATGTACCCCATCACCAGCAGAGCCTGTCTGGTGGAGAATGGGGAAAGGACAGCTCATGAGAAGTGCCCTTTATTGATGAGGAGGATCAATGGTGACCTGAAAGGCAGGCAGATGCAACAACAGAAACGGAGGGGTGGGGAGAACCGGGACACGGGGTCAGAAACTCTTAATGGTCCCATGGTAGGGTCACCGGGGTTAGGGGGTTCTGTGGAAGCTGCTTTTACGGCAGGAGACTCGGACTTGAAGAGGAGAAGGTTAACAGAGGGAACTGTTGGCCACAAATCTTCAGAGGCTTCCAGAGTGGCCCGAGCAGTCGCCCCCCACATGGTCACTGTCAACTGCAGCAACAGTTCCCATAGCAACCAAATGACTATCAATAATGTGCACTGTGTCACTCCCCAATCTCCCTTCACCCCTCCTGCCCCTCACACTAACCAGCACAACGGACATAAGGTGGCCTCCTCAGGCCTGCCAGCTGCACCCAGCCAGATCTCCCCAGTGGAGGCTAACGGCATCCCGACCCCACCAGCACCTGCAGGGGCTGGCTGGTCAGCAGAGCGCATAGCCCAGCAGTACATCGTCCCCTGCATGAAATACTATGGCATCTGTGTGAAGGACAACTTCCTGGGCCCTCAGCTGGGCGACAGGGTCCTGGAGGAGGTGGAGGTCCTAAACCGCAGTGGGAAGTTTCGTGGCGGGCAGCTGGTGAGCCAGAAGAGCATTCCCTCTCGCAGCATCCGGGGTGACCAGATCGCCTGGGTGGAGGGACGCGAACCCGGGTGCCAGAGCATCGGGGCGCTGATGGCTCACATTGATGAGGCCGTCATGTACAGTGCTGCCAATGGACAGCTGGGGGACTGTGTCATCAACGGACGCACTAAGGTGAGAGGAGGCGCAGGGCGGGGACAGGTGGGGGTCAGGGGTATGTTTTCAAGCCACATGCCAGAGAAAACACAGGCTACAAGAAATGCCGATGTAGGAGTGTCAGCCCGACGACATCATTAAATCTGGGCATGTGGCTGGTTGTGTCATGTCTGCTCTGCTCCATCTTTGCTTCCTTAATGCCGACATGCAGGCGGGCAAACACACTCACACACACATGCACTCACACCTCAGTGGGAGAGCAAACACAAAGTCAGGTAGGATGTCAGGATGAGCTCTGCTGTGTATCTGGCACGTTAGCTTGATAAGGGGGGCTGTGGGCTGAACCTTCCTCCTAACCTGACCCTGTGTCTGGGTTTAGGCCTGCCTAAGTTTGCCCCTGTCCCTGCCTTCATACCACTTGTACCCAGGAGGAAAAAAAAAACAAACTCTGGCGCTGTATCTCCTCTGCCATCACTATAACTCTGCCTTTGAAGACTTTTTCTATCACTCCTTTCACCCATACAAACATGGCACTGGTGTGGTAGGGAAGTGCATTTTTTTTTGTTTGTTTGTTTTCGTTATCTCATATCTCATGCCACGTGAGCTGCATGTTTTCTCTTTATTTTACAGTGACTACACTACACGCCTCGGTTTCTCTTTATCATTGATATTTTTCAAATGCCATGCACAATTACCACTGAAGATAGTTACCTAAACACTAAAAAGGGACTAACTATCATAATCCCTTTTCGTCTTAGTCCACAGGCAGTCGTTCTCAGTGTCCTGGACATAGTTGTGGACATTGTCTTCAGGACAGAGAACCCCCTCACCCCCCTTTACTCCCCTGTAGAGATACATCCTGGGTTATCTGAGCCAGGTAATGTCAGTGACCCATGATGATTGAAGTCTGGTTTATCCTCCCTGCTGAATATGTGCAAAAGAATGAAAAACACTCAGATTAAGAACTTGTTTGTCAGTCTTTCTGTCTGTCTGCCTGTCTGTCTCTGTCTGTGTTGGTGGCTCTGTATTGTGTTTTTCGGGATCTCCTGTAGTGTCATGGCCTGTTTCCCTACCCTAGCTGTGATTTAACCAATACATGCCAGTCTAGTCTGTTTCCCAAAATGTTCTCAGTGTTTCAGCAAGCCCCCTTTGTTCAGTAAAGATTCACGGTATAACAGATCCAGACAGTGCATGTTGGTGTGGTTTGAAATATTTGTCAGCAACTTTACTTCATAAATGTTAACTCAGCATTCAGCTTTTAATTGCAAATTGCCAAATGAAAGCCCAAAAAAGTGGTGAAAGAGAGTGAAATATTTGTATAGTAATGATTCACTTCAATTAAGCAGTTTGGCAGTTTTACACAGGTTAAACTGCTACGTCCCATGTGGAAAATAAATCCAGGGGGGCTCTTAATGAATGTCATGTCTGATCTGATCTGAAAAGTAGAAACAACATTACTGCTCCCCGTGGGGGAAATTAAGTGAAAGCTGTTACCTGCAAGCTGGCAACCCCCAGGTCTACTTCTACAGTCTTAATCAACAGAGCTATGAATGAGACTATTGGGTGAATGTTTAAAGATATATGTGCTGCATTTATGTAAAACTACATCCCATCATGTGTGGGTTGCCTCTCTACCCATCTCCATACTTGATTGAATCGTTGGCAGTATTTCCTCCCCTCCTTTCTAATGTACTGCCCGACAACCTCATTCACCCCATCTGTTTAACGTCACATGCAGCACCTTGCCCTGCAAGTCTAGTCATTTACATAAGCTTTAAGCAGTGTTTGAACAGGGGCTGGTTGGGTCTACCTCACATCAGCAGCCTTTGCTCTCTTGAACGTGGGCTGACTGTGCTGCTTTCTTGCCAAAGTCACGCCTAGTCTGAGCTCCGACAAAATGACAGCAAAGCGGGAAAGTTAATTGACTAACTTCATATATATATATATATATATATATATATATATGTTGTATATACATATATGTCTCATTTTTCAAGACCTATTCTGAAGTTCCTCTGCAAATCTGCACTTTAGAGGAGCCTCTGCCTACTCTTGAGTTGAATTTTCCTGTGCACATACAACGTCTCTGAGGAAAGGATCTACTCTAAAAACTGAGGAAAAGTACTCTAACGTTGTTCGATTGCAGCTATGCTGTTCATCCGTGCAGGCTGCAATGAAGTGAACACAAAAATGTGTTGACGCAAGTTTCTGTCATTGGTTCACTTGGAGAGGTGCTTTTATGGAGGTCAGAAAACATGTAGAAGTGCATAGAAAAAGTTACCTGGGAAGGAACAGTGTTTCAGAATGAGATAAGTTTACATTAGATTGTTTTGGTCTATAGGATGCCATGCTGTGTTGAGCTATTACCTACTAAGCTAATAATTATCTCTTATGTGGCATGACGATGACTAAACTGAGCGATTACCAGGTAAAAATGTTAGATTACCACACACCAACTCATCCCTTGCCAGTTCGCTTGATTTGCCCTTGGTACACTAAAAAAAGGAAAAAAAAAAAAAAAAAAAAAAAGTTCAGTGCCGCACAGTACAAAATGTTCTGGCTGGGTGTTCCTGTGAAGGAGTGCAGGAGACAGCATAGTGATAGATACAGTGATGGTAGACTGAATGAGGGAGAGAGAGAGGAAGTGATAGGAAAAGAAAAGAGGAGGATCTGGGAGGAGTACAGCTGGATAGAAGGTCACTGCGTCTTTTCCGTCCTTCTCCTCTTTGTCCAGCAACAATTATCCCTCTAACCGTATTTTCCTTAATTTTTTCATTTTCCTTCTTGTCTTTTATTCTGACCTCCTTTTCCTCTCCCCTGTCCTTTACTTCACTCCCTTTCTCCTTTGTCTTATCAGCCCCCTTGTTCGCTACTTGGACAAAATATTTCCCAGCCGTTACCGTGGTAACAGGCACATACAGAGTCGAGCTGCGCATTGTGTATAAAAGAGATGGAGAGAGAACTAGAGGGGCTGGCTTTGCCCAAAATAATGCCTCACCAGCAGTGGGTAATATTTTTGTACCCTGTCTACCGTTAGTCAGCAGGGGCCAGGTTTTGCAGCCTTTGAGACGTACACTGGGAAGGATTAACGTGTTAACAAAAGGTGCAGTAATTCAGTCAATATAGTGCAAGATGATGGTGGGTAAGTCTTGTATTATGGGGAAGAGCCAAACAACCCAGCGTCGGGAATAAGATATATGAAGGGGGAGGGGATAGACTGGAGGTGAGCATGGAAGGGAGTGGAGGATTGGGAGCACGGAGTGGGAGGATGGTGTTGAGCAAGAGTGAGAAAGGGCGATGCAGCAGGAGCTTCAGCATAATGAGAATGTCTGCTGCAGCAGCAGTGTGTCCTCAGATGCCCCTCCTAGAGCTCAGCAGTGCTACCGTGCAGGCAGGCGTCAGAAGTCGTACACTATCATACACAATACAGCCACAGAGCTAGCTTGCTTGAATGTACAGTATAGATGGACAGATAAATTTGCTGTTTTGTTATTCATTTAGTTTCCTTTCAGACAATTCAGAGGGCAAACAGCTCCAGTGGTAAAAAAATTGAAGACTGTCATATAATTATTACTGGTTAAATAATGGTACTGCTAATTATTTGGACATTCCCCTGGTGCGGTACCGACCTATTATTTCAAATGCACCACTGCTGTTAGTGCCAGTCTAGTGGATCAACAGAATATTGATCGGCAACAATTTCATAATAGATTGATCATTTCAGTTATCTGTATGCCAAATATTCTCTGGTTCCATCATCTATAATGGGAAGATTTCTCTGTTTTATGTCAGTGTAAACTGAATATCTTTGGGGTTTGAATTGCTGGTCTGGTGAAACAGGCAATTAGAAGACATCACCATGGACCCTTGGAAATTATACTTCCCAGATTAAAGGTACAGATAGCAGTTAGAAGTTAGAGGAAGAAGTTAGCTGACTACCAAAAACAGCAAACAGAGCAGTAACTTGAGAGTATTTAAGCCTTTCATGTATCTGTGCAACCCATTCTCTACCAACATCTGGACGAGGGATGTTATGATGCCAGAAATTTGTTGGTCGGTACCAATATTCGTTATTATATATACATTCGCTACTATAGCGCGCGCACACACACACACACACACACACACCCTTCCATATAGTCGGTGTCCAAGCAATTGACTAACATGGTAACAGACCAATAGTGTGAAAATATTCATTTAAAACATTGTTGTTATATTTTGTCAGCCTACCAACATAATGAGCTATCACTGCATAAGCCTAAACAATATAATGTTAGCCTTTGTGAACATTGTGTTTGGAGCATTGGTAAAACACATTCTAACCATCACAATTTGTAATCTAACAACCGAAACTAACACACCCTGAATTCTGGTTACATATCCGGATGCCCGTCTTTGCCTTGCTCAGATACGCTTGAGGTGTTTCCTCCTTTCATCTGAACTGCTCTGTGACACCGTTTGCATACTAGCTTTTGGTTGTCTATATAGCTTATCCCTGATGATCTGCCTCAAATGCAACAACTCAGTGTGTTTTTTTTTTCCACATGCTGCACTCTAGTTGGTGCTGTAGGCTGATATTTTATAACCTTAGTGATGAAACCCTCTTATGGTAAAAAGTACACCTGCCTTTAAAACACACAGATCAGTTCTCTCAGTAAGTCTAGACCAGTCTACCGATATTGTTTATGTTGCAGTAAAGCCAGATAAGCGGCTGTGAGTTACTTGGATCAAAGGGTTGATTATTATGTCCTCACCGAATCCAGACTCACTCCAGTTCGTACTCACTCACTCACACACACACACACACAGTCTGTCTTTAAGTTGCCAGTGATATCCTACTCCCAGATAACTTTTAACCAGCTTATAGAAGCAGTAACCCAGAAGTGAATCTAGCTTGAGTAATAGGCGATGACATGAACCAGGAAGAGCAGGTCAGATAGAAGCTGGCAGTGACAAAGCAGTTCATCATAATTCAGTTTAATGCACTCAGACTTTTATCCCCTTCACTTCACTCAAATTCAATCTTTTAGAAACTATTAATAATAACTGATCCTGATTGATATCGCGTCATTCAAGCTGCTTGTGAGTAATCAGCTGTGGAAATGAAGTAAGATGGCGGTGCTGCTCGACAATTAGTGACTCAACTGGTTTCAACCCAAGAGATGGCAAACATCTGGTTTCCAATAACGCACGAGGCTTCAGGGCTGTCCCAACTGTGAAATTTTTGTCTAGTTCTTTGTTCTGTTATGTCATAGTCACGTTGATCTGTTTTCATCTGATTTGATTGAACAAAATTACTCATCAGTTATTATATTAAAAAAAAAAAAAGAAAAGAAAAAAAGAACAATAAACCTCACAATTTACTGACAGAAATATCTCGGTAACAAGATTTCATCAGCGGCTGTCCCGTTCCTCCTAAAGCATTTTTACCACACTGCCTTTGTTTAGAAGAGGGATTTATTAATGTTCTATCCATTTAGTAAACAGTCTACAGCTTAACAGCCACCTTAGCATCTTAAATCTCTATCGCAGTAGTTTGCATGATATACACATTCAAATGAGAGTTTTTTTTTTTTTTTTAACTGCAACATCTACTTCAAGGTTTTAATCCCGGAACGATCACAGAACCAAAACTGCCACCAAAACCCCACAATGAGAATTTTTGTTCCCACAACTCCCCTCACTGTCTGCCATCATCGCAGTCTACCAGCAACATCCTCACCTCTGTTTTAACCCCTGCTCCCTCCCACACACATACATAAGCTCTCTCTCTCTCTCTTTCCCACTCCTTTAAATGCCTGTATTTGTTCAGCCTTATCTAGCCCCTCTCCCCCTCCTCACCCCTCTCTCCACCATCATTCCTCTTATCAGAATATGCGTGCAGCATTGGAGTTTATTTTTGCTCTCGTCCAGAACAGATTGTTCTGCCTGCCCAGCCATCACCTTGACAGCCCGGGTATGTACCCGGCGCTGCCATTAGGGCGTTAATGCTGGTGCCTGGCAGACAGGTGGTTGGTGCCAATTAGACTTAAACTTACTGTGGGCACTGATCTCAGCAGAGATGAAGGAGCGAGGAGGGCAGAAATTACAGATAGGATCGAGACGTGCTGTGTCACGCTGTGTGTGTGTGTGAAGGAGAGTGAAACACTGTGGATGTATAAGAAACAACTTTTTTTAACGCCTGATTTAGAATAAATGTCATAACCTTCTTCCTCCTAAATTATATGCCTGTGTGTGTGTGTGTGTGTGTGTGTGTGTGTGTGTGTGTGTGTGTGTTTATGCTGCAGGCTAGGGCTGAGCTGTCTGGTTTGGCATAGTACATCTTAATTGTGGTTAATTGCAGTTGCTAAGACTGTTAGCAGTTTAAAAGTACATGCACACCCAAAATAATCACTCTTGTTCCTTATATGTGTGTATAGAGAAAATCAACCCTGAATACTGTCCTTTTTTTGTTTATTTAATGAAGGATTTATGTAGTTGTTTGTTCTCAGTATTGAAGAGTCATATGATAACAAACTGTCCACCAGTATATTCACTCTGACACAGGGATTGCTGGCATGAAAATAAAACCTGTGAACCCTTACTTCTGACATTTTGCAACGTGGTGGGGTTAAAACCATCTAATAACCAAATACTGAAAAGAAAACTTTTCATGACAGCAGTCATTGTAACAGAGTGGACATTTTTCCTTGTGTGTTTTGAAACGATATGAAAACAGCATTTTACTGTGATTAATAAATGTTGATCGTGAACATCTAGTTCCTATGAAACAGAACTTGTCTAAACAAGTTCCTGGCAGCACAAAAGGGTGTCAGCCCCCAAAAGACAGAGACTCAGCTGTTATCAATTTTGTACAAGATGAACAATTGCAGGTCACATGTAAACGTGACAGTGAGAGCAGTGTGCTAAAAGCAGACCCACTTTTGTCCTGCCACAACTTGGGATGATAGTGCAGTGGCAGCAGTTTTGAAACCTACATTGTTTGCGCCTGTGTTTTTGAATCAGTGGAATAATGTGGCACTATCAGCAGGACAAACTCATCACGTTGCCTATTTACACATGTGCACGTATGTTCTTGTGCACGTGCACAAGATACAACCAAATGGGGACACACTTTTAAAAGCATTGCTACTTGTGGTCAAGAATTCCACAGGATACCTTTAACTGAATTGTTGCTATGATATTAAATACATCCATAGTCATTTGCAAAAAACACACACACAAATGAAGAGACACAATCATAAAAATTCCAACATTAAAGGAACAACTTTTAAACAATTTTTAATAACCCCATCACTGACAGCTGACTCACAATGTAATCAGCTGACTTCCTGTGACAAGTTCCAATTACTCTAAATCACATTCGGATTACATTAATGTTTCTAATGACCGTTATGTGCGTACACATATTTCTCTTTTTCCTTTGCCTACATTTGATATGTTCATTTTGACGCAGCAGGTCTGATTGTCAGTTGGAGCCCGGAGCAAAAGGTCCGGAGGTTAATGAGCTCTGACTGTGAGCGTTGGTCAGTAATGAGAGCCGACAATGGCGGCTGAGCAGAGTCACACACACACACACACACACACACACACACACACACACACACACACACACACACACACAATACAACCAAATTCACTTGGCCGTGAATGAGGTGGGCAACACCACAAGAGGGGGAGACCGATGAGGGCAATGGGCAGCTGTCATTTTTATTTCAGCTTTACAAACAATACAAGGACAGGTGCGTGTGTCTTGGAAATCAATGTGAGCGCTCTTTGATTTCCTCAGGGTTAAGACTCTCACAGTGTAGTACTAGAGCTGAAATGATAGCGTCAGGCAAGTTAAATCGATACCGCAGCAGCGCAGAACCTGTTAGTCATGAATGATGCACTGACTCTGAAACTGGAACTTTTACTTTCCATGCAGAACAATATAAGTCAAGACAGTGACAGTATCTTCCTTTGTAGTCAGCCTGGAGACATAATACAGAAGCTATTACTCTACACGCTGCCAACAATCACCACTCGAATCTCTCTCTGCCAGCGCAGGCTGATGTCAGTCAGTAAGTGAATCAGCTGTAGACTTTTTTTGCTTTACTAAAGAGACAGAAACTGGAAACTACAGCCAGTGGAGACAGGTTGGAAGCTATTAACTGCAGCCTGAAACACATCCCTTGTTCTCAGCTCATTTTGAGTTGTAGTTTTGTCTCTTAGCTTGCAGTGCATTTACAGTCACGTGGTCTTCTAGTGGCCCTGGTGTGGAATGTGCATTGGTCGAAGAGCTCTCACGCAGGTCTTGGTTCCCTCTGACTCTCCGGAGAAAGCGGCGCTCCCCGGCTTCACCGCCTCCAACACACAGACGTCAGGCAGGGGAAATACCAGCGCGAGACCATTGTTTGAACGTGGATACTCTATCTGCAGATCGTTTCGTAGCTGGGAACAACAGCTGAACTCTGACACATTTCTCTCTGCTTCTCCCTCTCGTGACTTTGTGTGTTTTACAAATTACATGATGGAACATTATACTCAGTATGCAAAAGGAAAAGGTTCACTTTGCAGAAGTGGGAAAGCCAAATGGCGTGAGATGGACCAGCAAAAGATGGAATGTAGACCAGACGGTCTCCTTTGCATCTCCCTTGTGCTGACTGAAATTTCTAAATGCTTATTGGTCACCTGTAGCTCCTCTAACTGAAGATTGATTCATCACCTTCCAAGTGCAGCCATTCAAGACAAATAGACTCATTGCTCACACTGTCCTTTCTCTGCTTGTCAAATAATCCATGACACACATCACAGTTTATCTGGTGAACATCAACGCACATGTTGTCTAAACTTACTGCGATTCTGTTGTGATGCTGCTTATAAGTGACACCAATGCACATAATTAATGATCCTATTTCTTCTGTTTTTAGGCCATGGTTGCCTGTTACCCAGGTAACGGGGCAGGATATGTCCGCCATGTTGACAACCCTAATGGAGATGGACGCTGCATCACATGTATCTACTATCTTAACAAGAACTGGGATGTGAAGGTACATTTATTATCAATATCAGTTTAATGTTATAATATATATATATATATATATATGTATATAAAATATTCTATATAAATAATATGTAAATATGGATCATTACAAAGTGCACTAGTTCAGTCTTAAAACACACCTCATGGTGGCACAGGCTTAAATGTGCTTAAGAGTGTTTAAGCATCCTTTTAAAGGTCAGTTGGTGAAATTCTACACTAAGTAACTTGACTCAACCCTAAATACTATTCCATATTGCCACAAATATGTTGCGAGTAAGATATGGTGTTGTGTGTATTTGTCTTTGTAGAAACAAGGAGGGTTGTTGCAGATCTACCCTGAAGGCAAAAATGTGGTAGCCAACATCGAACCTCTGTTTGACCGGCTGCTCATCTTCTGGTCTGATCGCAGGAACCCACATGAAGTCAAGCCGGCCTACGCCACTCGGTTAGTAACTCTTGTACTGTCTATACAGTACAAGCACACCCACACAAATTCATATAAAGTTGTGAATTGACTTCATATTGTATGGAAAACAGACAGGACACACTCCCAATATTGCCAGTTGTTTTAGTTTGTGCTACACTGTAAATATGTGCACATGCATAAATAGCAAAATTATCATTGTTACCATCACTAAAATTATTTCCTATAAACGAGTGAACGAATGAGATTTTGAATAACTGAACACTGTTTGCCCACAAAACACAAATACAACACAACTGCATTCTCATACATTCAACCAGTTAAAAAGAGATATATAGTGGTGTAGAGAAACACTCCTGCATTTCTTCCCCTCTCCTCTCCTCTCCTCTCCTCTCCTCTCGTCTCGTCTCCTCTCCATCTGACTGCTGGGGGGCGAGGTGGGGCCGGAGGCAGGAAGTATGTGTTTCCTGAGGGGGTCGGTGGGAGGGAGTGGGGAGGAAGGTTCGATTGCACGACTCGTGCTGGAGAGGCACAGACATGAGAGACAGGAATAAACAACGCAGCCCCACAGGAGAGACTCGAAAGCGTAGAAATTAACTCTCTGCTGCCCTGGACATTCACAATCTGCTGTTCACTTATTACGACCTGTATGATGAGACATTTTTTGTAATCTATTCTCTTGATCTGGGTCAGATATTATCCTTATTTATTTATTTATTTGTTTGTTTGTTTGTTAGTTTGTTTGTTTGACCACTTCATGTGATTTTTGAAGAATTTTGTCCATTATCTCAGTTTGATTTTTCATTTTATCCATTTATAAATGGAAAAACTTAATTACTAAGATTTGAGTTTTTTTTCAGACTATTCAAAATCATTTATCAGAATAATGATTTTTTTACCAAAGCCAGTTGATGGGACTAACAAGAAAATTTTTTTTTGCCTCAAACCAAAACCCAGTCAATTTACGACACAAGAAAATATCTGTTTTCTGAACCAGAGTTATATCATGTATCCAAAAAAGATGTCAGCTCTTGACTTGCTCTTATTTTAATCTCCCCCTCTTGTGTCTTACAGCTATGCCATCACAGTCTGGTACTTTGATGCCAAAGAGAGAGCAGAGGCTAAAGAGAAATACAGACTGGGTAAGCTTCTTCACATTCATAGGTTAATGTCAGTTTAATTTTTTTCTTGCATGTTTATGCACGGTATTGCCTCTGCTTATACTTGGTGCAACTCAATGCTGTATGCGACTAATATGCTTCTTTTTCTCTTTGCTTCTCCATAGCAACAGGACAGAAAGGTGTTCAAGTGCCTGTCACTCAAAACAGCAAGACATAAATCTCATCTAATCACTGGAGAGCACTCTGAAATATTATGTGCCTTCCTGAACTGCTAATGGACATCGCGATCATAAAGGGAGACACTGTTAGACACTGTCAGTCGCCTCTGCAGCTCCACGCCACCCTTGCATTGTCAGCTGTCAGATCCACGTCACAGGCTGTGATGTCATGTTTTCCTGCCATGTGATTGGGCAGCTGATCAGAGATGCGGCAGATATAGAGCACAATGGCCTGGATAGTATGGCAAAGGTGGCAGAAGAAGAAGTAAATAACTTCGACAGTGTCACTGAATCATCTATGAAGACAACTAACTGAAAAAAACAGGCTCCATAATTTTATTTTGTTGCAGTTTTGCCTGTTCAGTTATCAGTGAAGTTGTGATGTATTGAGTAATCATAGTTTTACTCTGCTCTGGTGTCATTTTCAATACAAACACAAGGGACATAAACGATGAATCAGTGGAAAGACAGTGGGAAAAAAAAGAGGCGCAAGGAGTAGAAATCAGTGGTGTTGTGTCTGAAAATCCTTATTTCCCCTAGACTGTGATGTGGTCCCCTTGTCTCATGATGTGGGCAAGTGTGTATGTGCGGGTAATGTAAAGACAGAGACACAGGACAGAAATGGCCCACAAGGCATCAAGTGATTCTCAGCCGTCATACAGTGGAAAGTTGCCCTGTGGCACTCGTTCAGTCAGTCCTGGCTCAAGCACTAACCCTGAGCATTACAGGGATATTTACAATTTATAATCAGTGCATGAGGACAACTCTACACTGTAGTTTGACTCTGTATAGCACACTAAGTATAGTTCAAGTATTATTCCAGGACCTTATTACAACATCTGTCTAAGAATAAAAAAAAAAAAAATCTTTTGCAACAGCCTCGAAATGTGCCACAACAACCCAGAGAATCCAGCATGAATGTTTCGTTTTTTAGTAGTTGCAATGTGTGTAAACAGATTTTCAAGACTGAACCTAGACTACACAAAGCTTTTCTACATTCTTGATGTGTAGCGCTCTCTGTTTGACTGAAACACGCGGCTCACAATTGAGACAAGAGGCAAGCTGTCCAGAGACAGGGGTCAAAACAGGGTTTGATGAGTGTGTTTTGTGTGTTGGCATGTGTGTGTTTGTGTGTGTATGCTCATATCCCTGTATGCAGATTCGGCTTGACTTTTTCCTGCTCTTATCATGATGGAAACAGTATGTATCACTAGTGTGGGCACTGTGGGACAAACCTGCCCAAAAAGACACATGCAAACACAGAAAAGATGGATTACAACGGATAATAAAAAATAAAAAAAAGGCATAAAAATTACAAAGTTATACTTAACAGTACTTAGCGGAATGATAACCTCAATCAACCTGTACACTTAAGACCATTTACAGTATAAAGCACAGAGTTAAGCATACACTGTATGTGAACTGCAGGGTGAAACTACTGCCTGCTCATGTGGGGGATTGAGTATTTGTGTGTAAATGTGTACTTGCACATGTATGTGACAAACACTGTCTTGAAGAGGGTTGCAGATATTGTCTCTGTGTATTTTAGATTGGTTGAAGAGAAGGTTATTTTATAAAGCACTTTATTGTTTGTAATGCCATGCGTGAATGATAGAAAAAAATATAACTAAAATGTAGATTAATGCCTTTATGCTGTGGATAATATGGTCATTCAAATGCAATAGAAACTAAAACAATGAGAACAAATGGAAATTGTTTGCCTATTTTTTTTTTCTTTTTTTTAATTTGGTGTATTTAATTAAAACCTGTTTGTTTTTATACACAAAGTGTAATTGATTTACTGGTAAAATCTGAGCTGAATCTCAGTTTTATTCAGCTACAGACATGAGAACAAGAGAGCAGCACCAGACCACATGTTCAAAACAAGGTAGCCAATCTCAGTCCTACACCACATGAGGGATCAAACTACAGTAAACTAATTGGAGACCATGCTGTGGATATCAGGAACGAAGTCTTTCTGTTTATTTGGATGTGGCATATGGCCATATCAGTTATCAGCTCACCAAAACTATTTCAGTTTCAAACACGTTCTCATCATACTGTGAAGGAGAGTACACCAATACTTGTGATTAAGTTCCTACTTCAGAGACAAGGAAAAAAAACTTAGTATTTGAGGTACTTGTCAGTCAAGTATTTAAGGATAGCAGAACAGATTTATCAAGTAGACACTGAGTGGATGAATATGTTAGTAAGTGGGAATGCCAGGACAGTCCACCTGAGCATATAATGGTGTAGTGAAGAAGAGTCGCCATCTTGGTGGTTATTAATAGCCTAAACCTACAGCAAGTGTTCTGTGATACAGTCTGGACAGAGATAAACATCATAATAATCAAATACTAGTATACAACATTATTTAGTTCTTGGTAAATAGAATGCAGATGAAGTGTTCCCCAAATAAGCTTAAATGCTGGATATTCTTGAGAGCTTAAACACATGTAGTAGCTTACTGCTATATGACTGCAATATCAGCACAATCTAAGTTAAATTTGCCCTGATGACTCATAATGTAAATGGTATCTAATCGCTTGCCAAGAATGTAGCCTGAAGGTTCTGCATAATTGACTAAATGAAGTCAAACCATCACATTAAGTGTCCCTGACACAAGAGGGATTTGTGAAGGTTTACAAAACACCTAATGCTGTGGTTCAGCACATGACCCACAGTATCAGGAGGCTTGAGATGTATGGACAGAAAGCACAAGGTTTATTATCCGCTGCTAGTTCTTAAGTAGACACCCAAGACATCAGTTGCTTCCCTTTCTGTGCTTCCCTTGCTTTCCCTTCTGTGCATTTGATTCCTCCAGTCCGACTGGTAATGACATTGAAGTGCAAGAATGCCTTGGGTTGCAGGCCTACCACAGGTTCCAGTGCCGGGGCCAGTGCAGATAGTTTGGGCCAAAAATCTTAAAATTACTGAGGGATATGTGGCCGAGCGTTTTCCAAATCCACAGGATTTAGGTCAGACTGAAATGATACATCCAGGAAAAAGGACCGAGTTGAGGTAGACCAGCAGGATTTGACGGATTCAAACCAACTTTATTTGGAAGCTCGTCAAGCTCGAAAAAGTGATTCAAACAAATCAGAGTAAGGCAGAAAGAAACATAGACCCTGACATTTTGCCATGAAGTTGTTTAGCTGACCTATAGCTAACATCCTTCTCAACTACATTGAGCAAACACGGAGCGATATCATCCCACTAAGTTGACTTTTCAGGAACCTGGCAAAAGTAAGTCCAATATTTACTTTATTTATCTCGGTTTTGGTCTCAGCCGACAAAATATGTGGGTTTTCAGCTGCTAGCTCATGTTTGACGGGCTAGCTAGCTAAGCTTCGTGCTAACCAAAGTTTGTTAGCCGTTTGGTGCTGGTCAGGTAACATAACAACGTAGGTACATTAAAGCTTGTTTGTAAGAAACAGGACTGAGGCGAGCAGCGCACTAAATTATAAGGATAATTTGCAGGTTGTAAAGGTAAAACAATTATCTAAAGGATGTTAAAAAACCTCAGCTGCAAAATTACATGAGTTTGACTTTGCCTCTGCTTTCACATGACTCAGTGCAGAAATAGTCAACAGACGATTATCAACAATTTTGACAATCAGTTGTTTTAGTCGTGTGTCAAGCAAAAATACCAAGCATATGAGGATTTGCTGCTTTCCTCTTTGTCATGTGCTTTAAATTTAAAATATCTGGATTTTGGACTGTCAGACAGAACAACCAATGTATAATTGACACCTTGGGCTATTATGGTAGGCATTTTCACTATTTTGCTACTGTTTATTGATTAAGAGATTATTCAATCAAAATAACAGTTTTATCAATTAGTAGTATTTATTATTAGTTACAGATCATTTTTCTATCAGACGACTAATCTATTAATTGACTAATAATTTCATCTCCAACAGATCAATTGAAAATATAGCGGCCCTATTTAGCCCTATTACTTAATGCTAATATAAAACAAATTGCAGCTTTTAGGACTTTGAGACTGAGACCACAGATAGTAAGACCAAAGACAATTCAGTTTGTTTAATACAGTGACACACATACTCATACCCAGAACACAAAGGAAAGATTAAAGTGCATGTCACCTGACCTTCTGGTACACCACACTCCAGTGAAACATCTCATGTCATCACAACAGACTCTGCCAAATATGAATGGACTCCTCAAAACACACTGATCCTGGCACAGAAACACAGATGGTGTTCATTAGTCTATTTACGCACATAAACAAAATATCTCAGTGAGGTAAAATCCCTCAGCAGAGCAAAATCCAGTAGTGCAGCCTCACTAGTCACTCACTAGTCACAGGCAAAACAAGTTAACAGTCTGAAACAAATTGGGAATATAAACAGTCTAACAAACACTGACCAAGACACAGACACCTAATTGGAGGTATCTATGAATTATACAAGACACTTCATCATACTCCGAGGAGAATTCAGATGTCACCTGTGATTAGGGCTGCAACAGTTAACTTTCATTATGGATTAATCTGCCGATTATTTTCTTGATTAGCTGATGAATTGTTTTGTCTATAAAATGTCAGAAAAGAGTGAAAAAAGGCCAATTATAATTTCCCTAATCTCAAGGTGACCTCTTGATTTTCTGACTGACTCTCCAAAACTCAGATATATTCAGTTTACTGTGTACAACAAAAACCAACAAGTTTCTGGCATTTTTTGTAATTATTCAGTTATAAAAATAGTTGCCGATTAATTTGTTGTTGATCGACTAATCAATTAATTGACCTGCAAGACTAATATGCTTCTGTTTAGTGCTAGGTTTTTCCAGCACTTAGTCCCTTGGAAGTGGTTTGTTCAAATATATTCAACATTTTAAATATACTGTATCATGGGATAGGGAGTACCTAAGTTTTGCTAACAATACCTAAACAGTACCTTCTTGGACACTTTACCTTGAGATATAAAAACCTTCTTTAAAATAGTCAAAGGAAAAGTGAATAAATAATAATAATGATTATTAAAAACTGTCTCAACAAAAAATGCATAAATCAACAAGAATCTGACCGAACATTTGATATGGTACTTGACAGATTTAGGAACATTTTGGTCACTATAAAAAAGTACTGAGGTTGAGTACATAGTAATCAGTGTATCGATAAGATGCATCCATCATTTCTTTTAATCAAAATGTACCAGATAAAAAATTTACTCCAGGACTACAATTTGACAAGTGTGCTGAGTAGATTGTGAGACATCCTATAGCTGCTGACTTCTTAGAATATAAGCACCTTTCTGCTTTGTTTTTCATATAAACACTGAGGTCAGCGTAGTATGAAACTCTGCCTTCTGTTCTGCCAGTGACTCAGATTCTCTACTAATAACAAGGGAGATGTAAGATGAGGAGCCTTTGCTCATAAATTTGCTGCAGAGGCCGAAGCAGAGCATTGTGTCTTTCCCTTTAATGATGTATGCCTTGTATTGGCTGAATATTTAAATGACTCCAGCTCACTTTAGTATGTTCACATGAGTGCTCCATTAGTGTGTCAAAGGAATTGTATCTGAGTGGTGGGGGTGTTTTTCTCAAAGATAAACAGAACACAGTGATTGTTGTTTGATTCACTATTGTCCATGTGCCAGCAGAGGTTCAGGCAGCTACATGGCAAATATCTGTTTATTGCTGTCATCTCCCTCCACCTTGTGGTTTATTTCCTTCATAGCAGTTAAGATCTAATTCTTCCTGTAATGTCATGTCTAACCACCAGAGGTCAGCACTAAATATAAAATGTCCTTGTGTGAGCTCTTTGTGTGATTGGTACTCTTTGTAGAGTTTGGCTTAATGTAAACTTTACTCGCAATTTCTCGCGCTCTGTGCCCCCATTTTTTTGCTGGACTGTACAGATTGTGCTGGAACACACACA